TGCAACATATTTGGAAACATTGATGACTTTTTTGTAATACCATAGCAAACGCGATGAAGGAACTTTTTTTATCTTCGACTGTCTTCAAATTTTGCAGACAAATTGTAGGTGCCAATTAAAACAAGAAATCATTACCAATTTTAACATTGGCACTAATACCAATTTTTTCCCTGATATGAGTGCATTATTTTTCATTAACTTCCAAATATATAAGTTTCGGATATAACTTTAAAGAATTCCACCACTAATTTACCGATTTTTTTAAATTTTAATTAATGTAATACATCAGCAAAATTGAAAAGCAATACATGACATATGTGATTTTCAGAATTTAAACTTATATTATCGAAGAACATAATATCGTTTATAATCAATTTTCTCCGAAATGGTGCAGACTACTGATATTGAAGAAGAATGCCTAAATTTTTGTCACATTACAGATAATTTTATTTAAACAAAAAACCCAAAATTACCTCCCGTTTCACATTCCCTATAAATGAAGAAATAATTATTCTTCCATGAGATTATTGTAGTCAATTATCTAAAGATATGCAAAATTTTAAAATTATTTAAAATGTGTTTTTTATCAATGCATACTATTTATACGAAACTTTTTGTTTAAAATGGCATTTCCTATCTGCTGTTTCAGGTTGGCATCATATTTTAGACACTATACAGGGTGTTTTTGAATGGAGTAGTATAAATGATACCAGTGAATCCACATTTCAAAAGAACACGATCTGCAAAAAATCGCCTTAGTAAAATGTTCACCCCTGAAGAGATATGGGCCATCAAAGTTTCCAAAAAAATTATGAAAATTGGCTGTAATTTGAAAACCGAACGAGGTACAAATAACAAATTTTTTACAGGTTGTTTACTAATACAGATGCGAGTTTTCAACTATTTTTCGAAAATTTTAACCCCTCGAAAGGGGTTGAAATAACCACCCCTCAAGCCATTTTTTGCCATAACTTTTATATTTCGTAAAAACTCGATATCCAAAAATACGCATTAGATAAACTGGTTCTTTTAGAAACTTTTACCTCTCTAGCAATTTTCCTTTAAAACTTTTCGTTTATTAATAAAAAAATAAAATGTATTACCATTCACCTCACACCGTATATGATTGCAATCAATCAAAGAAAAACTAAGTGTGCTGCTGTCATGCCAGTTGTCACAATTAACTCTTCTGTAAGTTGTCACTGTTATCAGCTAAATACTTTTTGGGTGTAAATTAACAAGAATTATGCCAAATTTTACTAATGATGAATATGTGGACATGCTACAAGTGTTTTTTTCTACGATCGTGCAAAATTTACTACTTATTGCACTACCTACTGTGCCAAAAGTTTAACTTTTTTTACAGTAGTACAAAAAAAATATTGATTACAAGTTTAATCTAAGCATATCCATAAGTACCTAACGTCTGACATTGACAATTTGCGCAATTAATTTCCAGTTGTCAGTTAAAATTTTAATATTATGTAAAATACTGTTAAATAAAATTTGAAATAAAAACAATCGTAGAAAAAATGTTGCGTGCAACATGTGCAAAAAGCATATTTGTTGCACTTAACATGATTGCAGCTCTCAACTTCGTCTCGAGCTGCAAACTTCATGCATCGTACAACAAATACACACTCTTTACAGTAGTTGCACAAATAACTGTTTGAATGTCGCAGAAACTTTTATTAAATAGAAGTACAATGAAAACGAAACTAAGAAATAATTTATTATCAAAAAGAGAAAAAACAAAAAACTTAGTTAAAGGACATTTTCAAAATAATTGCCATTTCTTTCTAAACACAACCTAACACGTTTATCAAAGTTGTTACGGACTCGAGCAAAAATTATGGGATTGTTGCGAATCTCATCAGCCGCCGCGAATATTCTTTCCTGTAGCTCTTCAACACTGTCAACTGGGGTCGCATAAACAATACTTTTTATATGTCCCCAAAAGAAAAAATCCATGGGCGTTAGATCGGGAGAACGTGCAGGCCAAGAGATAGGTGCCTCATTGCCGCGACCTATCCAACGATTCGGGTAATTTAAATTAAGCCACCGCCTAACTACTACAGTGCTGTGAGCAGGAGCCCCGTCATGCATGTACCACATGGCCTGACGTACATTTAATGGTACTTCCTCCAGAAGTGGTGGTAGATGCTCATTTAAGAACTGCAAATATTCAACAGCACCAAGTCGATGAGGTAAAACAAAAGGGCCGACAAGCACATTTTCTACAATTCCTGCCCAAATGTTTAAACTAAAATTATGTTGAAATGTTGTCATAGATACTTCGTGAGGATTTTCATGAGCCCAGGAATGAAGATTGTGCATATTGGTTAAACCATGTCTTTGAAAAGTTGCTTCATCTGTGAAAAGTATCTTTGAGGCAAAATTCAAATTATTTCTTAGAATATTAAGATACGATTCGCAAAAAACAACTCGCTTATGCATGTCTGGTTCAAGTAGAGCTTGAACTGGCCGGTGGTGAAAAGGATATAATAAATTATCATGGACAATATTCCAAACAACACTATGGGACACATTTAAGTGCATTGCTGTTTTTCTCGTACTAGTCTGACGATTTTCGTCAAACTCTTCAAGTACTGCATCCTCAAGATAAATAGTACGAACAGTAGGTCTTCGGCCGGTACCCTCAATATGCGGCTGTATTTTTCCAGTTTCCCGAAGTCTTCGTTCTACCGCCGAAAAAGTTTGTCTGTGGGGAACTTGACGATTTGGATATCTCTCATTATACGCTCTTGTTGCCGCAGCACAGTTTTTGCGACATTCAAAATACACTTGTAGCATGTCCACATATTCATCATTAGTAAAATTTGGCATAATTCTTGTTAATTTACACCCAAAAAGTATTTAGCTGATAACAGTGACAACTTACAGAAGAGTTAATTGTGACAACTGGCATGACAGCAGCACACTTAGTTTTTCTTTGATTGATTGCAATCATATACGGTGTGAGGTGAATGGTAATACATTTTATTTTTTTATTAATAAACGAAAAGTTTTAAAGGAAAATTGCTAGAGAGGTAAAAGTTTCTAAAAGAACCAGTTTATCTAATGCGTATTTTTGGATATCGAGTTTTTACGAAATATAAAAGTTATGGCAAAAAATGGCTTGAGGGGTGGTTATTTCAACCCCTTTCGAGGGGTTAAAATTTTCGAAAAATAGTTGAAAACTCGCATCTGTATTAGTAAACAACCTGTAAAAAATTTGTTATTTGTACCTCGTTCGGTTTTCAAATTACAGCCAATTTTCATAATTTTTTTGGAAACTTTGATGGCCCATATCTCTTCAGGGGTGAACATTTTACTAAGGTGATTTTTTGCAGATCGTGTTCTTTTGAAATGTAGATTCACTTGTATCATTTATGCTACTCCATTCAAAAATACCCTGTATAATGTACGCACAGCAACCAACTTGGTAAACAAACATGAACCTAAATGTTAGAAATTTTATATTAAATTATACTATTACATTGACAGCTAGACAAAATTATGTATTTGAAAATATTTATTTACTAAAAGATGTAGGTATATAATTCAGTGGCGGTTTGTGACATTGAGACTAGGTGAAGCATATTCATTGATTGACTAAAAAGAAAAAAAAAGCGCCGCAGGCGAAAATTTTCAAAGTCAAACGACTTTATATGATTCTGGAAATTTTTAGTTAGTCAATATTACCAAAAAACTGACGTTCGAGAGAAAGATCTTCATTTAGATCTTATAAAAAATATAAATATTAGTTCGGCTCGTGGAATTAATGATAGGTACAGATACTTCGGAACGTACACTTTGTCTTTTGACTTTCCCTATTTTCCACATCAAAAAATCCATTTTGTCCTCAATTTTCCATCTGGAAAATGGTGTTTCCAATAAAATACATACTGAATCATACGTAATCATTTCTATAATGATTGATACAAAACAAATATTAACAAAGAACCATTATAATCGTGCACAGGGTGACGTATCGTATAAACTGTTTAAGGGCAGGTGATGGGCGATGGAAATGCTGCTACAATTTCCACGTCACTCGTTCCCCCAAACCGTAGTTTACTCACGCGTTGGCCGCCTTGTTGCCATGACAACAACCGTAAATGCTACGAAATGAAGCAAAATACAAACTGATTGCAATCCTCATCACTTGCTTATGCTATATGTAGTATGGTAGGTTGATGTTCGCACTCAACGAAGGCAATTTTTTTTTTAAAGGCGTTCACCGCGCACCTATTTTGTTTATTTCTGCATATAAAACAAACAAACACAATACATTTTCAATATAGAATTAATACTTAAATTCTAAAATTTATATAAAAATAAAAATAATTTTAAATTGCACAACCAAACAAATTTTAGGTAAAGTGGTGCATCATTTGCGTCATCTGGCGAGCCGCCACTGATGTAACTTGAACCAAAATGTGTCTTAGCATTCTATGTTGCGTGCTAACAACACTTTATACATTAATTACATAAATGACTTCTTTTTGTTATTCAACCGTTTTATGAATCAATTCAGTGTCATCAATACATCCAATTTTGTCATTAAATTTTTCTCAAAAATATAATGAGAGAACTCTCAACTACTTTTCATCCATCTCCCCAGGAAAGTCAAAGACCCTTAAATTTCAAAACTGGCATACCTGGATTGTTCACATATCTTTACAAAAAGTAGAATTAAAAAAATTTGTGTAAAGAACCTTTCTTAAAAGTCCAACATTTTTAAAAATTATAAATTAAAAAATGTCCTTTAACTCGAGCATCCTCTTCCTCGTTATTTGTTGCAAATGTTATTGTGGTTTGTTAATTTTCCTTAACATTAATCATCAGTTCCATCAATGGAATATATTATATTTTTATCTTGAAATATTAACAAGTGAAATTAGACCTACATAATTTCTGTATCAATCTAATTCCCTGGTCCGTTCACTATTTATTTAATTCTATTATTTATCTATAATTTAAGAGTAAATATTTACATTTTTCAATTTGTTATACCAAGTTTTAAAAGCCTGATTTCCAAATCTTTGAGGTTGCTGAATGGGTGGTATTTCATCAATCCATTTGCTCAACGTACACATGAGCTTTACAACATTATTTACTGCTTCCGATGCATTTTCACTTCCTTGTGAATTACTTTTGCCTTTTACTGACTCGTTTAATGCAAAAATGAATCCTAAATACTCCTACAAATTAACATTTCATATCACAGAAAAACGAAAATAAAATATTTACAAAATACGCTTCAGATTTATCCCATTGCTGCATATCATCTACTGTTTTTACTAGCTTTACTGGAGTTACAAAAACATGATCTTCACTTACTGAAAATATAATTGGCTACTAACAAAAGCTAATAAAATATAATTAATTATAATACATACCAAATGATTTAGTTCCAGATATAGAAACCTTCTTCATAATGAATAGTAGCAGTCAATAAATAATGAGTTTTTCAAATTATAACCTTTACTTGTGACAATATGACAGATGATAGATGATAGGAGGTAGGATAGTAGGATAGTAGGA